GGTACCCCCCCCCCCCCCCTAGTACCGCTGTACCCGCCAGAGATGCCAGGTGAGGTACCTGGTGTCAATTCTGAGAAAAACAAAAGAGATACCAGAGTACCGCTAGAGGTACCCGGAGTACCGATGGCCATCTTTATGACAAGCTGGTATTCCCTTGACTAGTTTGATTAGGAATCTCTGTCCTTCCTGATCTGTTACAGAATGTCCCATCTTTGTTAGGATCCATTTGCCTCACTGGGCCATTGTGTTACATTTCAGGTTGATAAGATGGTATGGCCACTGCTACATATGTTTAAAATAATGTATCATCTTCATTGGCCTGGTACAGACCATTTAATCTTGGGGAAAAAAGAGAAATCCTTACCAAACTTGGTACATCTTATACCATATCCAACACTGAGAATCTAAGTTTTCAGTTATTTTTTCATTGAATTTTTAACTTGGTACAAATTTCAAATGTGAAACCAACAATTTTTTAATTTTTGAAGTAGATATGAACAAACAGGCTGTCTTCTTACATTTTCCACAAAAAAATGCTAATAATACTTCTACTGTTACTGTGATAATTGATTAAAACATAGAAAACAAATCCAAGCCAACAGTTGTCCACAAGTTAATTTGACCTTGTTATCCAGAATTAAAAAAATTTGAGTGATCAAAAATTATTTCCTTTTTGAATGATTTCACAGCCAAATCTCAGTTGTATCTATATAGCTCACTGATTGAATTACTGTGTACCTGGCCTCAAGTAACTGATAAAAGCAATGAGATAACTGATGATGTAACTTTCCAGCGTTTTCATATCCATCAAGAAGGTTGCATTGCAAATTTCATCAAACTTGTACGGTCAATACCACCTCTGCAAGGAGAATACATCTTTTGGAAGCTGGTACAATTATTTCAGCTGACCAAGGAGTTACTCTCTTTAACAAGGTGGCATACAGCATTTTGATTTTCTCAGAATGGGGAGAATATCTGTGGCAAAACCCCCACAGTGACCCTGAAACTTGAGAGGAAACCCTAAATTAAAGGGGAACAAACTAGTGTCACCGTACTATCCCAATCTTGGGGTTTGCTCTTCCTCCCATTTTTTGGAGGGTTTTGAAAAATTTGGTACATCTGTTTGGCTAAAAATCCTTGTTTTGAATTTCATAAAATGTATCAGAAGGAAATCATTGTGTAAAAGCATGAAAAAACTGCATAATTAGGAAATCTGGGTCAGAAATTGTGGCAAAAACAATCTGGTGGATATAAACAAAAACCACAACTTTGGATATGTGACATCATTTGTGAAGTTTAAATGGATGTTAGAAGTGCCAAGTTGAACCAAGAAACACATATTTTGACCTAGGATTTTGAGAACTATTTTTGTAAATATGCTTATTTGGTGAAACCAATTTCATTTTCCAAACCATAAAATCATAAGCCCTATATATTATGTCATCCACATTTTCACTCTTGAAATGTTCAATTTTGCTGGCAATATCCTTATGTGAAAGTAGAATTATGGTATTTTCTTCAACTGGATCTATAGATTGAGGCAATATATACTTTCTGGTTAGAATTTCCCGGTATCTAGAAAAATTTTCTTTAATTCTGGGGGCAAGCCATTCAGGAAGGTATTCTTGAAAAATCCATCCATGAAAAAAGAATCTTTCAAATCAGTTATTGTATCACAACAGTTCATTCCTGAAACTTTTACCTACCTTTTAATTGGTTATCCAAATATGCTATTCTTTCATTTTCATCTCTAGCTTCAGTTCTTTCATATTGTGTTTCTTTCAATCACAAATGATTTTTTCATCAAATTTTGAATGAAAGAGTTTAGATATCAAATTCAGCACAACCCCCAGATTATTTTCATTTTCAGAGAGACTTAATTAATTCCACTCACCAGTCATTTTACTCTCATAATCTTTCCAGGCATTATCAAGATCTGATTCACAGATTTTGGATAGCAATGGATGAATATTCAGAGGCCTCGTCAAATAAAAAAGAATACCCCTGTGAGATCCACAACACACCTTCTTCTGTCACCATTTTTCTCTTGCCTAGAAAATGGAAACACAAAGCCCTTATGATCAGCCATAATTCAATAATACTTGAAGCTGGATCCAAGGAAAATCATCTTGATGACAATTTTTTAACATATTTCTCTTGATAAGATTGTAATTGTTTCCATACCTCCACTTTCAATCCCTTCAATTTCTGGATTGGTTTCATTTTTTTTGTTCAATGAAGTTGTTTTTTCATGTTTGGGTTGATTTCCAAGATTAAGCACTGAGTTTTGAGACATTTTATTCAAAGCACATTACTCACCACTTGACTCCTCAGCTCTCTTGCCAGCCTTTTGATCATCTAAAGAGTGATGTTTAACAGTGTCAGTACAGAAAAATTTTCTTTTATGTGGCACAATTATTGACAGAGATATGTGGGACTAACCAGCTAGTAATTTGAAATCCTCAGAAGCTAAAGTAACAATCATTGACTATCAGCAATCATGCATTCCAAACCTGTGATTAGGAAAAACAAATATACCATAGAGAAAATTACATACCTGGACCCTTCTCTATTCTTAATCCTTCATTTACTGGGCCTTCATGGACTAAAAAAATATAAGTAGGATCAATAATCAATACCTAGAAAGGAAACCAATTTTTGCAATCTTAAACAAAGGATGCATCTATAATTGACTTACGGGCCAACTCTGACACTGGATTGACCAAATTTTCTGCTCGCTTGACTAGATAGCTGGAAATTGAAAGTGGATGAGCAGAAACACTACAGCAATGCAAGAGTTGAAAGGCAACTAAAATCTTTGTTAATAACATGACTCTGGAGTCTGGGTGGTTGGGTTTGAGAGTAAAATATTTTTTAACTATGATCAGGGTGGAAGATACTGATGGTATTTCTGATGGCAAATCAAGTGGGCTGGTGGTAAGCAGAGTCAAGTATTGAAAACAGAAGGATATTTATAATCCAAACTCCCTGCTGTGAACAAAGTACACCAGCAGAAGTGTCTTTCCCCTTGCAAAGTGCGGACTGCCTCTGGTGTGGTTGTGCAATGGTCAAAAAAATTAATGAAACATTAAACCATTTTCATTGAAACTCATCTGTGCTTGACTTCCTTGTCATTACTGTCTATCATAAATTGTATTCTAAGTGTTTCCTTTCCCTAAGACAAGTTAGAACTAGTTCTAACAAATGGGCCTCACTCAGTATCTGCCTGATGAGCCGAGGAAACTGTCTGCATGATGGACCAGATTTCAAACCTTTTTCCACATGGACAAATTTCAGACCTTGGATGCCAAGTCATTACTTTCCCTCAGACAACATGGAATTTGAACTAACAGACAGAACAAGATGAATATTTGGCCAGTATTTTCAATTTTCTCAATAAAACTGGTTGTGAAAGGCATATATTCGAGTTTTTGCCGCATATTCCTCAGAACTTGTATGTGAAGTATGTTTTGTGTTTCCCTGAGACAATGAAACATTGGGCCTGATAAATCAACCTTGGTTTAACTTTAACCAATGTGTATGTAGTCAGGTCTGAAGCAACCCAAGCAAAGTGGTGATATTTCAACTCGTTCTGGCTCTTGCTTTTCCGCAAAGGGTGTATGTATATGTACAGCGAGTGTATAATTCTTGAGTCGCGTCGGTGGGATAGGGTGGGACCTATGTGTGTTTGCTCCTGCACCAACTCAAGCAACCGGGTTTCCACAAAGAATGCAACCGGCTGCGTTTGTAGTGGTTATCGGTGATGCGCAACCGCTGGCGAGGTCGCCAGCTGCAGCACCGATGCCCGTTCTCACTCAACCTTTGTTAACAAAGACTT